CATATGAGGTACCCTAAAATTGTAAGATTTACAGCAAAACATTATTCTGACAAGAAATAAACACCGTCTAATGCTATTAATGCTGCTTGTACATTTGCAAATTCATTGCAGAAGTTAGAAAGGGAAAAGTCCTTTCTTCCTTTGCCAATGGAAAGATCATGTTTCTTGGGAGCTTGTCTTAGAAATGAACAAAGTTCAGCTCTGCTCATGGCATCGAAGGAGACACTTTTGTTGTTTCTTATGACTAGAAATCCACAGATTTGCAGCTAGTGCTGAAAAACCCCTGCTCTGCGTTTATGAGATTAAATCCTTGCTGATTCATCTTCATTCCTGTTTTAGGGTGATCCTGGTGAGGGATTGCCAGGACCTCCTGGACTGCCGGGACCTGTGGGGCCATCTGCTCCTTCCAGAGGATTTGTGAGTATTTTGGGGTTCTCTGACAACGAGCTTGGCTTGCCATAGAGGAATCCAGAACTAAATAGGAGGTTTCTCTGGGAAAGTAGCCTGACTGCCACAGAAATATTCATGTTTTCTAAAACACTCATGCAGAAATGCAAATAAATATGTAGCTAAAGTGTGTGAGTGTTGTAATCTACATAAACACCCACTATTCACATTTTGAAAAGCCAGTTGATGTGTGTGTTCTCCTGTGCAAAAGCAATAATATATGGGAGATCAAGAGACAAAAATTTCCTCAAAAAGACATTATAAACCTGAATTATTCATTTTTTTCCTGCCACTGAACACAGAAATGGTTTGACAGTCATTTACGTTTGCTGTCATTAAATACTACAACACATACCAGTGTGGTGACAGCGTTCATATTTTGAATGCTCGATCCTCCGGCAATGTTTCAGATTCATCTCTCTCCTCTACTTGGGCCTTTCCCAATGTTTTCATGAGAATACATGTGTATGCAGCTGAAGAAGGAATCTGGCCTGAATTTTCAATTCATGGTGTAGGAGCCGATTTTACATGTAGACACAGCCCACCACTGACACCAGTAGGAGTCCTGTGGTAGACTCTCAAACAAAACTACTACTGAGTATTGTGAGAATTTAACAAGAGAGTTTGCAATATATTCCAGTGACCAAAATGGATTGTATGGTCTTCTGATCTAAGATCTGCTAGAATTATACCAATCTGTTTCCGTAGCATAAAAATAGAGTAACAGTGTTACGAAGGACTGCACTAAGTTGTACACTAAGGCCTCAAGTTGTGCCAGGGGAGGTTCAGATTGATTATTAGGACATTTTTTTACACTGAAAGGGTTCTTAAGCATTGGAATGGGCTGCCCAGGGGAGTATTTGAGGCACCATCCCTGGAGGTATTTGAAAGATGGGTTGACATAGAGCTTGGAGACGTGGATAGTGATGGTTTTTTATCAGTTAGGTTGATGGTTGGACTAGATGATCTCAAAGGTCCCTTCCAACCTAAACAACTCAACGATTCTGTGATTTAGCCTCCATTGATACTGACTTCAGGAGACCAGCAAGGGAGCTCCAGATTGCTAGGACAAGGTGCTCCAGTCTAATAGCATTTCTCACCCAAAGGCCACAGCTCTCAATGTAGCAGCGAGCAGCAGGTCCTGCACCACCTTGAAGTTCTTGTTTTCTGTCATAGCAAGTTTCAAGGCCTTTTATTCTGGAGTAAAGTGAAAGAAGTCTCAGTGCAGCCAGGGAATGTACCTCTGATTCCTGGGCTTTTGAAACATTACCTTTGGTTCTATTTTAACTGGTTCAGGTACTAGTTCTCTGTGTACTTTGGGCTGTGGTTTACAAAGCATACACAGCTCTGGAACTCCTCATGGACTTGCAATGGGAATCTTAATTTACTTTTAGTAGTAAATTTACTTTTCTTTTTTTACATAGTTAATTTACTTTTATATGAGTTGACATTATTTCATTTTAAATGTGGTGGAACTCACACATGTAGAAAAGTTGTATCTCAACTGCCGAGTTTGTTTGTTGCATATCTTGGTTTATTCCTTTTAATTTTTAAAATTATGAGTTCCATAAAACTTTCATAGCAAGTTCTATAATTTAAAAAACTGGATAATTGTACTTCATTTCATTTTGCTATATATACTATGCAGACAACCTGGCAATTTTTTCATGAAAAATACTTGTTTTCCTTTAGAGGATTATAAAAATTATTTGACAGTATGTATGGTGACTGTAATTTGCACTATAGATTCCATAATATAGGAAGATGTTTTGAAGTTGAAGAAGCTTGAATCTGTGAAATTGTCTTATAGATGACAGTAGTAATATTTAGTATGTTAATTTCCCTTGATAAAATGCCTCTTTAGATTCCAGTTGTAGGAATCTCAGAATTTGGCTTTTGAACTAAAAGGCACGTTCTAGGAAACAGTGGCTAGTTGTTAGGTATGCTTTTTAGGATATTGTTAATGTTGACGTGTATCTTTCCAAAGTTAAAATGTGTCTGAGATATTGTGCTTCATCTTCAGTTCACTTAAACAGTCCCATAGTGTGTTTTGTCCTGCAGGAGTGTTATCACTGTACTCACAGAACATCTGCACGTAAATATAGAGCTGAGTGTCTACAAAATAGATGGTATGAGACACCAGAAACATGACTGAAATGTTTTTGTTGTGTAATTTATTTCACCAGTGACAGTCTGCTGCAATGATACTGACTATAGCTTTATTGGCAGTAATTGGCAAGCAATACTTTCATTTGTCCTCTTTAGAAGCAACATTTTAAAACAGAATTCTCCTAATTCCAGGATAGACTGGAACCTGAAGAATCGGGTTCTGGAGATATTGATGAAGAGACTGAGATTTTGAGAGTAAGTATATATTGATGTTTATTTCTCATTAGTGTAATAAAGATTGTAGCAGGTCCATTTTCATTGGTATAATTTCACAATGCAAATTTTGTACATGTTTAATTCACCACATCAGAAATGCCTTGTAGGGAACAGTGGAGGTTTCATTTCAATATCTAAAAAAGGCCTAAGTGAATGTGAGTGGGGAAGAAGTGTGAGAAACAAAGAGGACAACAGAGAAATAATGGCAAAGGACTTTTTAAAATGAGAAAATTCTTTTAATCTTATTCTGACAAGACAGTTAGGAGAGAGATGGGAATTATATTATGATGATATTATTCTTTGCTTTTTTTTAATTTGGAGTACCTGTCCTAAAAAATAAGTGTGTCTGTATGAAATATTTTACACTGCAGCTTCCACTGTTGATCCATTTTGATGGTCTTTTGAACTTCCCTGTGTCTTTGCCTTTGGGAATAATTGTAACACTGTCCTCCTATCAAGGCTGGCTAGCAGACGGTATCTCTAGATGGTCAGCCAGATCTACTTTTGCCACGTTCCTGTTGAAAATCCAAGTAGCAATCTATAAAATATGTATTGCAGCTGCAAATAATGTTGTTTTCCATCCACACAACCATCAGACATTATAATGAATCAGGTGATATATTACAGTTAAGGACACATGTTAGGAAAATGAGAAGTCAAGTGGCTGAAGATGAAGAGACATAAATGAGAAGGCTTTTACGGGTCCATTTAGGTGGAATGAGAGATAATCTTTGATGCAGTCTTTGATATGGAGCATTTCCACCCTTCAGTTGGAATCTGTTTCATCAATAATACTGCAGCTCTCTGAGGAAGGAGCTCCTTAGATGCCTGTGTCCTATGAACTCCAGAGTGCTATAGCATTGGGAGGCCTCTGTTTTGCAACAGGTCTACTGATATTTTTCATTCTCTCAGACTGGTTTCTGCCTCAAGACTTCTTTTCTGTGTCTTCGTTCCTCCAAAGTGCTGAATACCTTATTCCCAAGGCTTTTCAGGAGGGAATTGGCTTGTTCTAATTCAAGTTGGTTATCTTGCCTAGTTGAGGAGACTAACCTTTTTAGATGCCCTATGCTGTTAACAAGACAGGTGAGTGTTTGGAATGGCTTCCCACGGAAGCCTCTGTTGACTCTACTGAAAATCCAAGACCATCTTCCTAATAGAAGCCTGTAGACAACTCTAAGTCAGAATTAAAGCGTTCTTACCTTACAGTGCCATGCTCCAAAATTGCAAACTGTCCGTGTTTGCCTGCTAATGCAATCAGTAGCAAGGATGGACTTGCACATGAGAGAGAATATTTGCAAACGTACTATTTCTGCCAAAGTAACATATTTCGTTCATTTTATTCAATATGAATAGCTCTGCTCATGTCCACGCAGGATAGATCTTTGGAGGAGAGGCCCACTAAGCTGTAACACTAAGACAGTCAGGTCTGGACCATGAGTACAAATTCTCAGTGTTTCAGCAGTCTCATGGAGGAGCTGCTTTGAAATGAGTAGAGAAAAAACTAACCACTTCTCTCTGTTGAGTGATCCCTTGATTTCATTTTGGTTACGTTTCTCAACGTTAGGTTGATAATTGGAATATAGAAGCCTCTGTTGACTCTACTGAAAATCCAAGACCATCTTCCTAATAGAAGCCTGTAGACAACTCTAAGTCAGAATTAAAGCGTTCTTACCTTACAGTGCCATGCTCCAAAACTGCAAACTGTCCGTGTTTGCCTGCTAATGCAATCAGTAGCAAGGATGGACTCGCACATGAGAGAGAATATTTGCAAATGTACTATTTCTCCCAAAGTAACATATTTCGTTTATTTTATTCAATATGAATAGCACTGCTCATGTCCACACCTGCTCATGTCCACGCAGGATAGATCTTTGGAGGAGAGGCCCACTAAGCTGTAACACTAAGACAGTCAGGTCTGGACCATGAGTACAAATTCTCAGTGTTTCAGCAGTCTCATGGAGGAGCTGCTTTGAAATGAGTAGAGAAAAAACTAACCACTTCTCTCTGTTGAGTGATCCCTTGATTTCATTTTGGTTACGTTTCTCAACGTTAGGTTGATAATTGGAATATCTCTAAGGTCTTTACTGGGTTACAGAGAGTTGACAGAATTTTTTGGTTTTTAATTTCCTGCTTGCTGTTGTGAGGCCCACTAAGCTGTAACACTAAGACAGTCAGGTCTGGACCATGAGTACAAATTCTCAGTGTTTCAGCAGTCTCATGGAGGAGCTGCTTTGAAATGAGTAGAGAAAAAACTAACCACTTCTCTCTGTTGAGTGATCCCTTGATTTCATTTTGGTTACGTTTCTCAACGTTAGGTTGATAATTGGAATATCTCTAAGGTCTTTACTGGGTTACAGAGAGTTGACAGAATTTTTTGGTTTTTAATTTCCTGCTTGCTGTTGTGTGCCATGAGGTGGCACAATTCAGAGAGCGAGGATGAAGGAGGTCAGTGTGACCCTTACACAGGGAGTGTATCTGTGGTGTGCCATGAGGTGGCACAATTCAGAGAGCAAGGATGGAGGAGGTCAGTGTGACCCTACACAGGGAGTGTATCTATAAAACTGAAATTGATTCTTAATGAAGCAGAAGGCAGATGGTAACCCAAGCTGAGAGTTTTATGAACATGGACAGTCTGGGTGAGCTTTTCCTGTTCCATGTATATACAAATGTACCTGGCTAAGGCCATTTCTAACAATGCTGCTGATTTATCCAGGGTCTTCCTGGGCCACCAGGCCCTCCAGGACTTCCTGGTCTTCCAGGAGAGCCAGCACCCGATTCAGGTGTAGGACCTCCTGGGTCACCAGGGGAAGATGGACCTTCTGGTGAACCAGGCCCTGAGGTGAGTACCCGTTTGTGCACAAAGATTAATGTTGTTTCTGTTCTACAACACTAAGTTCTAAACCTTACAGTCTGTATAATTCTTAATAATATTGCAGACTATTTTTAATTGAAGAATTTGGATTTTGTGCATATTTTTACAAAAAAATAAACCCAAACAAATAAATGTCTAGTTAACCAAAGCACATTGTGCCACAGAAGGATGTCTATTTGGCAGAAAGATGCTGGTGAATCTGTACCAGAATAAATAAAAAGTAAGGATGCTTTGACCAACACTGAATAAGGCTAAGGATTATTTTTCCTGTGGTGCTTTCAGGACAATGAAGTTTGCTAAATCACTTACATAATCCACAGGGAATTTTTAACAGAATTGAGTTTCCCCTTTCAGGCACTGTCTTCCTTCTTTTTCTACAAATACGTAGAAACACTTATTCCCATGGACATGTAAAATACAGTTTGACTGTAAAGAAGGTTGTTAAAGTTCAAGTGTTACCTATTTGTTAACAAATCCTCAGTATTTGCTGTTTGGATTTTGAAATCTAGTATCTCTGACAAACACGGTCTCATATCTGGGTTGGTTTGTTTGTAAACGAAAAAGGCTGGAAACTTTATTTCAGTTAAAAGCTGAGATTCTCACCTGACTGTGGGGAAGCTACCCAGCATTTCTAGTCTTCCAATAATATTTCAAGACCACAATATTTTTGGAGAGTTATAACAAACTTGTTGAAGTAGGTGGGGTTTTTTTAAGTGTGCCATAAATATTTCCCACTAAGTTCTGTGAATACTTCGGACTAGGAGAACCCTGGCAGTTTTGTCTTACTTGAAGAGTGAACAGAAGTCCTTCTAGAAAATAACCAGGAAAGAGGCATAGCTTTATTACATAAATGCAGTGCCTGACCAGTCTTTTCTTGTTTACAATTAATTAATTATCTTACTTTGTATTTTAATATTTGAAGTTAAGCTATTTCTAGTTATATCTAGTCACTAAATGACTGGCTTAAACCTAAAAAAACCCCCACATCATCTGGGAGATGGGAAAGTATCAAGTGTTCTGAAAAGTCCTGCAGAGGCCTGTCATGAAAATGCCTCTTTTGGCAGCATTTCTCCGAACCACAGTATCTTCAGAACCACAATATCCTCAGAGAATAATTGGGGATCTTCAGTCCTCTAATACAGAGCAGTGTTGCTTCCCAGTGCTCATATATTTTATATTGATAATCATTTTTCAGTAAAATGAAGGTGCTTAAGGCTGGCTATCAGAAGCAGCCTGCTTTATGACCAGGCATATTTTCCCATAAAAGAGGATGTTCTTTATATTTAGATAAATAAAATACTTACTGATTCATCTTTTGTTTTAAAGATGAATGTGTTCCCTGTTGTGCAATCTAGGATTTCGGAGGCTGCTTGTGGCCAGTCATGATGCAACAGAAGTCATTGTTGTCCACTTTCAGGATAATTCCTGGGAAACGTATCAATTAAAGAAGTAGAAGTTAAATGTTAACCAGATTGCCAAAGTATGTTTTCACAAAAATCAGACCATGACAGCTCTGCAGTCTGCTAAGGAAAACTCCAGATATTAACAATACAGACCCATGCATTCCCACACTTTGAGGTGACCTAAGAAACTAGCCCTGCTCTCCAAAGATTTGCACACATTTGCACACTCTGGATAAATGAAGTGAGATCTATGTAAAGCAGGAAGTTTTGGATGGGAATCCTCATTCAGTTACACAACACGTTGAAATAGTTGTGTAATTAAAGGTCTTTGGTTGTGAATCCTAATTTCAGAAGACTAGAGAACTGAGTTGTGTGCAGGCTTAAATCCTTGCTAAATCAAGAACTTTGTGATGTAACTTCTCTTCTCTTGGAAGTGTTTGGGCAAACAGCAGTATTTCTGCTGTTCACTAGCTGCTCCACATTGAATCTGGTACTGATGTGATATTGATCTGATCAAATATGTATTTTCTAAATGCTACATGGAGTTAAGTTGTTTCATGGCACTGTGTAAGGGTAAAATGGCTAGGCAGTGTAGGGGAAATAGTCACTCAAATTTAGGACAATTATTGTTGTTAGCCCAACCTCTTTTCTAATCCTCCTTCTCCTCTGCTATGTAATCAGGGCAAAATAAAACACAGGGAAATAGTCACTCAAATTTAGGACAATTACTGTTGTTAACCCAACCTCTTTTCTAATCCTCCTCTGTCTATGTAATCAGGGCAAAATACAACGCGAAAATGTTTGAAACATACTGAAAGCATTTCTGATAATTTTAATATTAAAAAGAACTGATTAGTTACTCTATCACATACATCCAAAGGGCATAATGGGTGAAAAGTAAGGAGAGCAGGGAAATCTATAAATTTAATTAAAAGCTTTCACAGCCCAATTTTTAAAACATAGGGCATGCAAATATGCATGCAACTGTTCCCTTTCTTGCATAAATGAGGCCTTTGTGACCATTCTGAAAATACCAGAGAAAAATAACGTTTTCTATCTCCTTCTGCAACCATTTATATCCTTCCCCAAAATGTATGAAAAAATAAATCAATAAAAGATTCTAAGGGGCCAGAATGCACACCTGTATATTTAATTAAAGGCTTTCACAGCCCAGTTTTTAAAACATAGGGCATGCAAATATGCATGCAACTGTTCCCTTTCTTGCATGTGTAGTTGCTGTGGGCTGGACTTCAATACCTCTACTGATCGAGTGGTTGACCCTATGGCCAGTTTTTCCCTGCCTGGATGCTCACTCAAATGCATGCTAAGTGACAGACACAACACAGGAAACTGACACAGAAACCCTTGGCCACTTTCTGACACTTTCAGTACCAATGTATTCTCAGCCAGCTCTCATCTGGCGCTGAGATTGCCAAAAGTGTTGATGGCTGAAGTGCATGTGGATTTCAGCCCCATCACATCTGAAGCAGTGTTGTCAAAACCTGCTTGGATAGCACCATTATTTGGCAGGCTAGCATTATATTTACATTACATTGGTTTATAGGTTTTTTTGTGTGATTGTTTGATACAGTTTTCTATTAAAATGTATGTACTGTTTTGATACAAAGCCAAAATCTCAGAAGGTAAGAAATACAAATGTTGGAATGTAATGGTGTTAAGTGCTACCTGGTGGTACCCATTTGTCTTTCATAATGCTGTATCATCAGTTGGTCCAAAATACTTACATGAATGTGGTAGGAAGAGGGCTCTCAAGTGGCATCTGCTTTAGATTTACTATCATCTACAGGGTCCTCAAGGTCCTCCTGGTCTTGATGGAGTGGTTGGCCCACCAGGACGGAAGGGAGAAAAGGTAAGTTAAATATCTGTCTTGCTCCTACTTCGGTGGAAAATCTCTGTCAGTTCTAGGCTGTAAAAATCATAAACGGTTGTCCCTACAACGCAGTGTTGGCTGGCTTCAGTACTTTTTTTAATTGAATCCAGCTGCTAATGGCTTGTTAGAACACATCTCAAAAGGCATATTCAGAAATTCAGAATTCCCTCTTGGGTACAGTCTCATTTTCTGAAGCATGCAATATTCAAAATGCAATATGAGCTATTCTGTTGTGATTTGCCAGTGAAAAACCAGTCATGACTGGACTCATGCAGTTGTGTTTATGTGGGGGGAAATGAAGAACTCCAGCTAGTCCAGACTGGCACAGACTGACAGAGTTTTCCTTGCTGAAAGTGCCTTCTTTGGTGCATGTTTATACCAAGGGAACTGGAGTTGTTTGGATTCTGTAGACCACGGACACATCAAGTTTTGTACACTTCAGCAGCAGCCCATAGGTGTCCAAACTGCTGAGTGCTGCACCGTGCTGCCCACAGCCACGATATCCCACCCCCACATTCATGGCAGTTCCACCCTTCACTCACCCCTTGATGAGACATTTCAGCTTCCCAACCTGGCAGCAAGTTTTTTGGTTGACTTGGTGCACCGCTTGGCTTCACGCGTGATCGTATGAAGCACCGTGGCCAGCAAAAGGGGAGGAGTGAGGAACATGTAAATGAAAGCAAGAGATCACAGCATCCAGCAGGTAGATTTTCTTGTGTTACTGTGGAACCAAAACCTACATATTGCCAAATTGCCACTCTTTTGAAGTTTCCCCAAATTACTGCATCCATTTTTTTTGCATCCTCCTTCCAGAGATGGTACGGCAGAGAGCTCTGGAGATGGCGAGGGGCCTTGAGTGCATGACCAATGAGAAGAAGTTGAAAGAGTAAAAATATCATAAATGGGATTTTGTTGCCTGTCTAATGCTCTTACTGCAAGTAATAAGGATTGGTTTTCTTTCACAGGGTGATCAAGGTCTTCCTGGTTCTGTTGGTCCAAAGGTAAAAAAACCCCACAAACCCACAAAAAAACCTCCAAAAAAACCCCACCACAACTACTGGGCGTGTTCAGTATACTCACAGACTGACTTTTTATTCTAGGGTGAAACTGGAGTCACTGGATCAATAGGACCCAAAGGACAAGTTGGTGCTGTTGGGCCTCCTGGGAAACCTGGACCACCAGGACCTCCTGGGCCCCCTGGACCTCCTGGACCTCCAGGACTAAGCTTCGGTTTGGGATTTGAGGTATTTTGCTATTATGGGGTTTGTTGTAGCTATGGATCTACTTCCTTCAGAGGAGGGGCAGTGTAATTACAGGTATATTTCACAGCTATTTAAGGGTGAATTGATGACAAATAGAGACTGAAATTCACCTAGGAGTAGCCTACAATTCCTTCAACGTTTGACCATATAATTGGCCACACTTAGGCCATGGAAGTAATGGATTTCTTTGGGCACTTTGCATGAAACTATTCACTAGTAACAGTGTTCAGATGCTATTTTTGATGCTTATATCATTGCTAATATAAAGTGCTCAAATACTGTACTACGAGAAAAAAACTATTTTGCCCTTTTTATGTAAATAATTTAGAGCAATGATTTAAATATACATACAGACATGACAGTATTAATTAAGATCAAACAGCAGGTCCCCCTTAAGCTGTAACTTTTCCCATGCTGTCATTTTTGAGGCCACGAGTTCAGTTTAGGCATGTCACTTACGTAACTTGTAAACACAGTGACAGTTGTCAGACATTTCTGACCTCATGGGTCTGTTCTACTCAGAAGACTGTTGTATTTTTTTTTTAAATGTAGGTGCTACGCTTTCTACTTCTCAAAATAATACCTTCACCACTTTAAAATATGAGATCTGGCCAGCTCAAGCTGAATTTTACATGTTATTTGAAAACTGCTCATTTGGATGGAGCAGAAAGTGGCTTTGCAACAGAGAAAAGCAAAGGGTTCAGGCTCAAGTTCAAGAACTAGAGCTGCTGCATTAACATCTTTGTGAAGAGAGGTGGACAAAATGCCTACATCAATATTTACATATGAGTCTTCCCTTTTTGTCTTCTTCCATGCATTTTTCATTTCCAATTTAGCTGTTTGGCTCAGTAAAGTCTTTCAGAGTTTTCAGGGTTTTATGTCCTGGGACATTTTGCATAGAAACTGAGAGCTTTCATCAGAAACTGAGCAGTTTCATCAGAGAAGTAAGCAAGGTTTGACCAAAACTCCTTACTGGAGGACAAAACTCCTCCAGTAGAAGTGCTGCAGTAAAGTTGCCGTGTTTAAAAGATACCAATTTACTCAGGCATGTTTCTCCTAATATTTACACTACCCCTTTTGTATTTTTCTTTCCTTTACTGAAGACACTTTGAGTACTCCAAGTACAGAGCTGATCACTAATGCCTGTTTAGAGACATATTCTGATTTCTGAGGTCTGACTGAATGATACTGCACTATATACACTGCTGGTTAATGATCTCACTGATGGCAGTGGATTTTAATGGATGAAAAAATCTCGCCAGCAATTCACAAGCTCTTAATTGCCAGCACTGCAGTTGTTAAGAAAGAATGGTGTAAAGTCTAAGAATACAAACACTCCATTGCATTAACTTAGGCTAGTACAGAGTCTCCCCTGAATAATTATATATTTGTCTTAGAATGAGGACTATTGGGAAGCCACATCTTCATCCTAGGCTTGGTCTGAGTTTTAGCCCAGGATGGTGGCTTCTCTGGCTTACGGTCATAGAATCACAGAATCATAGAATGGTTTGGGTTGGAAGGGACCTCAAAGATCATTGAGTTCCAACCCCCCCCTGCCCTGGGCAGGGACACCTCCCACCAGACCAGGTTGCTCAAGACCCCATCCAGCCTGGCTTTGAACCCCTCCAGGGATGGGGCATCCACAACTTCCCTGGGCAACCTGTTCCAGTGTCTCACCACCCTCATAGTAAAAAATTTCTTCCTGACACTTGTAGATACAGTGTTCAGAGGTTCTCCCCTCTTCCCCACTCACACTATTTCAGTAGAAGCCAACTTTGCCTCATTGAGCCATAAAGAGTTCTCCTGCAGGTAGGTAGTTAGGACCAAACTCTGATACCTAAGTCTCAGAGGAGAAAAGTTAGCAGATGAGCAGGAGAGAGTGAAAGCTGTAAGTCCCCACTTTTATGGACACAAACACAGAAGTATCCCAGCTCTAACTGCAGCACCGGTATCTTGACTGGCTTAATCTTGAACTTCATCTAGTCCCAGCAGAATTGGCGTGATTTTCCTTTCCCTGAGAGGAGTACTACTGTGAACAGGCTTGCTAGTTGTAGCTGATCTTTTGGATGCCCACCCCTGCCATCTGTTACGGCAGCACCGTGGTCTGCCAGTCCGTTAGGGCAACACTACCTTGTGGTTGGCAGTCTGTTGATTGCCGCAAGGCTGTTTCTGCAAAAACATGCCTGTTAGCGCTTGTTAGCATCTGTGACCAGCTCTGTGCAAAAACCAAATGGCATGGGGTTTGCTGGCACTTACGCTTGCCAAAGGAACAGTTTGAGCTGCAGAAGGTACCTGGTAAACCCATTAAAAACATGCAGATGTCAAAAGCGATTGGTGTGTTATATAAAGCAGGCATCAAGAGCTCTCTTAGAGGGAAAAATACGTTGGCAGAGTGGAGGGAAGGGGAAGAAGAAGCAGCACATCTTGTAGCAAGTGTTTGGTTACGCAGGCCAGACAGATTATCAGCAGATTTTCTGTTGATATTTGATACAATGAAAGCTGATGGAAGAGCAAAATAAAAGTCTGAATAGCATTCACTCTCATGGGAAGTTGCATGGAAGGCCTTGAGCCAACCTGATGACTCAGCGTCTCCCACCTCAGTCCCCCAAAGGAAGGATCTGATTCCAGCTGCGCACTCCTTCTGCTTCTCTTGTTCTTGCTCTCATGGAGTCGGTGGAAAAGAGCGAAAGAACAAGATCTCTTTTTCTTCACTGGAGTCAGAGCAGTTGATGTTTTCCGTAACTTCGGCATTAGGCTGTCATTTCATAGCAATTTAAGCTGACCTAATTGTCTTACACCCTTTCATAGAATCATAGAATCATAGAATGGTTGGGTTGGAAGGGACCTCAAAGATCATCAAGTTCCAACCCCCCTGCCATGGGCAGGGACACCTCCCACTAGAGCAGGTTGCTCAAGGCCACATCCAGCCTGGCCTTGAACACTTCCAGGGATGGTGCATTCCCTTGCACCATCTCCAGAGTGCATCAGACCTGGGGTAACCTTAGCCATTTCAAGTCAGTAACTAGCAGAAAGCTAAGTAATCAAAGAGTTTGGGTCCTCTAAACATGATAAACTGAGGCTTGTTGTCACTGAGAGGCTTGTTGTCACTGAGAGGTGGAGAGGTTGAGGTGGAGAGGTGGAGATTCTGCAGAGATCTTTCAGAAGTCAGCAGAGGGTCATGACAATGATCAGTGGGCTGGAGCACATGACCTGTGAGGAAAAACTCAGGGAACTGAGCTTGTTTAGTCTGGAGAGGGTGCAAGCATTTTAGGAGCCTTGTGATCCCTTTGTTGAGAAGACACGCAGCCAGGATCTTTTCGGTGGTGCACAGAGTGATGAGCAACAACAATCATAAATTGAAACCGGGGAGGTGTTCACTTGATATAACTAAAATATTTTTCACATTGACCACAGACAAGTGGTGGAACAGGTGCTTGGAGAGTCTGCAGGACCTCCATCTCTGGAGGGTCCCGAGACCTGAGGGGGCAAATCTGTGAGCAACCTGATTTGAATTCAGTGTTGACACTGCTTTCAACGGGAAGTTAGTCTAGGTGGCCTACCTGAGATCCTTCCCAACATAATTAATTCTACAATTTTCTTATAGAACATTTGTTTTCTTCTCAATTTCCTTTCAGTAAGCTGTATTTTAGGTAGGAGTTCATCATTCAACTGTGAGAATTGGGAAGGATCTTGATGGTAGGAGTTCATCATTCAACTGTGAGAATTGGGAAGGATCTTGATATTTGAATAACGATTGCTGCTCTTAACAAATTGCCTGCAAGTTCTCCCTGCCTTAAATCAGTTCTGTAACCCTACTAGTCATTACAGTATTTCAGTAGCCAGGTGGCAAGTAAATGCTTAACAGAAAAATACTGCTACGGTGTATTTAAACATAGCACATACTTAAAACTGTGATGCTGTCTCACTCCTATCTGATACTGTCCAGCCTGAAGTGCTGGAGAAATGGTGTGAGATTGCAAGACCATAAAGACTAGAGTTTCTGTAAGGAAGATCAACATGCCCTTATTGCATCTGAGCGGAGCCTATCTCCAGAACGTCATGCATTAGTTAAAAAAATCTTAATGAGAAAAGACACAAATATTTGTGTTCAGTATCTTTCTGGGCGTTTTTTTTTTTTCCCCAGGACTTCAGAAAACAGCAGTTTAAAAAAAAAGAAAAAAGAAAAAAAGGAGAAAAAAATGAAGATAAATTCTTAAATTCTGTAGCATTTTTTCTTTTCCATTAGGACATGGAAGGATCAGGTAGCACTGGCCTGTTAAGTGAATCCAGGATTCCAGGATCAGAAGGACCAAAGGTAAGTGGATGCTTTGGAGGAGGAGATTGGTGTTTGTTGTTGGGTTTTTTTTCGAACACAAGTGTCTCTTCCTCTCCGCTTTTTGGAAACACATAGCCCTAGTCATCTATAGATTTCTATATGACATATATATTTCTGTATGACATCTATAGAGTCACTGAACTGCACTGGATTCTGTTGTTTTAGAATGGCATTACAATAACTGTGTTCTCCAAAGAATCTGATACCTGGTTAGCCAATGATTTTTAGATTCTGCTCTGGTATTTTTTTTGAGAGATTAAAGCATGAAATAGAGGGAGTTGTGTTATCTAGCTCTCTATTTCTTGTTTTACGCTAACAGATGCCCTTCTTGCATATGAAGATGGATTATATATACTAATGAAACTGAAATGTTATAGTTTGACAATCTAATGTGCATAATCTGAAATACCACTTAAACTAGGAAAGTGTTCCCAGTAGTGTGGAAGCAATGTCCCAGAAGAAGGGATGTTTTTTCCTCCATCACTGCGTCTCAGGAGATTTTTGCTAATGTGGGCTGCTTTGAAACACCAAGTAGGGAATATGGGAATATAATGCATCAGTACTTACCAGATCATTTGGATTTATCTTCATTCTTAGCAATAACATCAAAACTGCAACCTATGATGCCTTCCCCAAAGCAGACAATTATCCAGCATTCCCTCTCACAGAGATATATTATAATATGTATATTATATATAGAATCATAGAGTCATAGAATTGTCTAGGTTGGAAGGGACCTTTCAGATCATCTAGCCCAACCACCAACCTAACTCTGAAAAAACCCTAAAAAAACCCCAAAACACACCCACATCACTAAACCGTGTCTCTAAGCACTATATCAACCCATCTTTTAAATACCTTCAGGGATGGTGCCTAAAAACGTCTGGAGAATGCGGGCATCGATCCCGCTACCTCTCGCATGCTAAGCGAGCGCTCTACCATTTGAGCTAATTCCCCTTCAAGATATATATAATATATTATAATATATATATATTGAGTCCATCTTTTTGTGAACACCACTTTAAGAAAGATGTGGAAAAATCAGAGACAGTCCCGCAGAGAGCTGTACAGATGGCATGGGGCCTTGAAGATATGACCAGTGAGGAGAGGCTGAAGGATCTCAAATGCTTTAGTCTGGCAAAAAGGAGACAAAGGCATGACCTAGTAGCTGCTTACAGGTCTTTGAGGGGCAGTTGCAAACACGATGAAGCCAAATGGTTCCTCGTAGTGCCAGATGGTGCAACACGGTCACAATTTGCACCTTGAAGTGGTCAGGAGAAAACTGTTCACCAGGAGGTTGGTGCAGAACTGGGGCAATTTGCCCAAGGAGGTTGCGGAAGCTCAGTTCTTTGAAGTTTTCAAGACTTTGCTGGACTGACCTGATCTAGAGCTGGTGACTGTTCTACTTCAAGGGGGTGACTATCTTAGACGGCCTCCAGAGGCCCAGTAGAACCATGCTTCTATGATTCCATGAATCATCAGAAATGAACTGAACCCTGGAGACAGGAGTGAGTTTGAGAAGCTTTTTACTGTGCTGATTTAAACTACTACTTATCGTGAGTCACTGAAGAATTAAACTGACTCAGTTTAATTTCTGAGAGACCTTTTCCCCCTCTAAAAAAGTGGCTCAAAAATGCAGTCACAAAAAAATGAGAATAGAATTTGTTAGTTGAAACAAGCTAGTGTCCAAAAAGAGATGTCCAAAACCAGCTCCAAAAATGCCCATTCTGACCTGCTTAAATGACAGCCTTACTCTCTGTTTTGGTTTTATAACGGGCATTTTTTCTAAGTCACTCAGCTATAAATACTGAAAAAATCTCTTACTGCAGCTGAACAAAATCCTGGAATTTTGTTTTCCTGTTACTGCTTAGTCACTCCACAAAGTTCAAGTCAGTAAAGAAGGCACATAAGAACTTCCCTGTAATGATGAAAATGATTATACGTACTGCCTGGTACTGCGTGGAAGCATTATGAGCCACTTACACCCTGTGACACCTCCAGAGGCTCCTTATTGTGTTGGAGTGAAAATAGAATATCTGCTTCTAAGAAGGCTGTAACTCAAAACAGCTGCTAGGAAATAAACTACATTTATTTGCACTATATTTGTATCTGTCGGATGAATTTTTAATTAATCTTTTATGAGAAAGTAGTGGTTATGTTCTGAAGTAGAAGTATCAAATTTATTTTGCCTGTAGGCTCAGCTGTCATTTCCAGGGTTTCTCTTCTCTTTCTTCCACAGACCAGGGTAAAGTTTTGGTGGTGTTTGCTTTATTGGTGTCTCGTCTTCATATTCCAGATGAAGACAATTCAATTACTTTGTGAATTCTTTTTTCTTCCACTCAGCTTTCTAAAATGATAACTAATGGACTGTTGTTCATTGAACCATCAGTGTCATAATTGTACTTTACAACTGATGTCACCATATGGAGACAAGAGACGAAGTTGCATCGCAAAATGTTTGTTTCAAGTTACTTTTAAACCTAACAAGACAATGCCATGTTGCCTCTAAACTGGTTACATATCTTAATTTTAGCCAAGGAGGCAAATTCAAAAAATTGTAAGCAACTGAAAGCAATCCCTTGCAACAAATTCACGCAGACAACTTTATTTTTAATATTTTCTAAAAATATATATAATATGCAGTGACAAGATTCAAATTGTCCTTGTAAGAAAAAAAAAATCATTAGATCTTTGCATGATAATATAGAGCAAGGCAGTATTTATTAGAACAACAAATCTAAAACAATGCTTACATTTCATTACTTTCTTTTGATACTACTGCTCTCTGACATCATTGTTTTTGTAACAGTTGTGGTTATGGATTAGGGTTTTTTTCTGAGAAAATTTATTGTGCAATGCTTTGTGGCTTTACCAGTAAATTCAGTGTAATTTTGTAGGATTCTGCAGGAAGACATGGACAGCGTGGGCCATTAGGACCAAAGGTACCCTATGTCACAAGGAAGACTTGAAAGCTAACCTGTTTGGCTTTGGCATATATTTTTTATTTCTATATTCCCAGCATTTGCCTTAACAAAACAGCTTTTGTTTAATGTTGATATACTAAGTATGGCACAAATTTTATTCCCATTTTCACTGGGTGTCCACCCAGAATGTGTATTAATAGCATTATTTCACATCCACACCAGAAGAGTGAGTAAATACCAGATGGGCCGTTACATTCCAAGGCATTTGGTGTAACACGGCATTTTTGTTTAGGACTTTTGGCAATTTCTCTTTGTCACTCATTTATCTATCATTCTGGTTTCCGAGAGGTTACATGTATGCTGTTGAAAGAGAAAGCTGCAGGAAGAGGCCTTCTGGAACCATCCCAGAAAGTGACAGAAAAACATTCTGGGGGGGAAAAAGGGAGATGTCATGACTGCTTTGCCTCGGTTTTGATTTGAGCTCAGCAGTGTCTGAATTTTTCCACTTTGCTGCTGCTCTTGGTCAGGTAACCCATAAGGAAAAAATTGAGAGATTGAAAGCCAGAGGGAAAAAAAGGGCAGATTCACAGAATGAGGCCTTAGAAGAGGCTTTTTCTGTTCCTGTGTAAAGCTTGAGTACTACTCAGGTTAATAGTACAGCAGGACACCACGTGTTCAGCACCTTAAATGTGTAGTTAAAGGAGTTTGAAGTTTTCATTGCCTCGGGAAATGACAGGAACATTGAGGGAATAGGAAGTGGAAAAAAATAGGTGGGGACCCCCATCCTCTCTTCTTAAAATTTAGACCTTAACACACACAGCACAGGTCACCGACTACCCAAAAAGCACATTGCCAGCAAGAAACCTTAGAACAACAGCAGTCAAAGATTGGGCCAGTCACCTATATCTAGAGTCTGTACAGCTGAGCTTATTAGGGCTGAAAAAAGTCCCTCCATTGGGTACTACTTCTGTTAACGCTGGAGGACAACATGACTTAGGAGTGAAAAAGTCAAGCATTTGCACAGTACTTGTTAGTGAATGATACTGCAAAGTTCTGGCCAGAATGGACAGGGTCTTGCACATGATGCTGCTCCATGGACACGAGTAGGTGCCAAGTCTCCATGCTGAAAATATTTTATTCTCTGACCTTAACTAGAAATTTTGTTTTTAAGATACTGTAGAAATACTGTTTCACAAAGGCTTCAGAAATGGAGGTAACACGTTTCCTAGAATTTAAGAGGTGGACTGGGACTGAAAAGATAGATCTTGGCCAAGAGACTTCACCACCACCTACACTAAGCTTTTAGTTGTTTCATCTTGAGTCATTCATCCCCAAGATCATGGAGACTCAAAAAGGAACATACTATTGCCTGATGTTTGATAAAATCAGGTACACTGTGGCAAAATTAATATAAACTGGTTATAATACACTATCATGCTCATGGGGATGAATTTTACACCCACTTTCGTGGTTCTAAATGACTTCACTAGGCAACAGTAGCAAAATACAATAGCAACCCCCTTCCAAAAAACAAAAGCTAATGTATCATACAGAGTTTAAGGTATGGTTATTTTTCATACATCCTTTGTCCTTCAAACACCCCACACTAGTAGAACTGTCAGAGAAGGCCTGCTGTGACCAAAGTTTTCTCTTGTTTCCTAGCAAGTAAGTATAGATCCAAATTCTGCTTTCACTTTTATTGTTACGGAAAACTGTTTTCATTAAAAAACAGTCTACAGCCTTCACACACTCATGAATATAAGCACTCCTAAAGTCTTTTAGGACTGTCTAGGAAGCATAAATGTAATGTTTGAGGCAATGGCTGTGGCTCCTTGCTGATTGATTCCTGTTAATAGTCCCTGTCTCAAATGAAATGAACTAAATTGCACGTTCCCTGTCTGTATTGAAATCAAGGAATCGTGTCTACTCAGAGCCAGAGCACTGCAGAATCAGTCCTGAAAGTGGAACGGTGCAGCTCTCATCATGTGGTTTGTGGTGTGACACAGTGGTAGGTGGGGGAGCAGAGTGAGGGAGGCTGAGTTAGCTGTGTTGAAGGAAGATGGTGAGTCATTTGTGAAGGTGCAAGGTCATTGTGGCGCTGGTAGATGTGGGGAATGTTACCATGTGCTGATTTCAGACACCAAAATGAAGGTTCAGGCATGAGGTTTGGTAGATGCTCAGCAAAAATAATGTGTGGTGACCAGAAACTCTTTAAGATGTGGGTGACAACTGTGAGGTTAAACCCCCAGAAGCAATTCACAAATGTATGATGAGCATCACTTTACCAAAAATACACCCTATTCTTGCTAATCGTGTTACTCCATTCAGTCCCTTTCTTTGTGAGTAAAGTAACATACCCGTTTAAAATCCTTGTAATTAGTGTTCACTTTGATATTTGAGCCCTGCCGTGTTTCTGTTTCAGGGAGAAAGAGGCATCATTGGTCCACCAGGTTCAAAGGTGGGAAATTAATTTAATTAGTGTTCACTTTGATATTTGAGCCCTGCTGTGTTTCTGTTTCAGGGAGAAAGAGGCAACATTGGTCCACCCGGTTCAAAGGTGGGAAATTTATTTACTTATCTAAAACCTCAGTCATTTTTTCCTTTTAGTTTCCTTTTTTCTCTTAACGCACCTGGGCAGGTAATGAATATTTCTCGCTCTGTCTTGCATATTAAAGCCCAGGGAGGCTTCTCTGGAAAAACAGAAGCCTTTCTCAGCTGAAGTGTGATTATCAGGAGCCAGAGTAACCTGTTGCTTAGGTCTTCTGCCCATCATCCTGCAGCCAGCCCACTCCTAACCCACACCTGACCTCTCGGGAGGTACAAGATTATAGAAATGCTGGTTGGAAGAACCTCCAGAGGTCATCTAGTCCAATACCACGCTCAAAGCATTATTACCACCAGCACTAGGTCACGTCAGCTCTGGACCAGTTTCTAAACATGAAACCTGCCAGTTTACACTGCTTTAGAGGGTGTTAGTATTGAAATGAATGGAGCTGGAGTCCATTCTGTCCTCTCCAATCTTCCCTCTCACCATCTCTGTCTCTTCTGGTTTGGAGTCCTTCCAGAGCCAACCCCAAAGCTCCTGTTTGTATTTGTGCTGCTTTTTGCCTCTCCCTGGCCGATTTGTGTGCCTTTTGCAGGCATGAGCCAGCAGAGGGCGGTGCTGGGACTCAAATAAAATAAAAATATTTTTTAAAATTGTAAAGAATAAAATAAATCAAAACAAAACAAACCAAAAGCTTCTCTTGCATTTGGGACAGCACGGAAATCAAGAGTTGCTGTAGGAAACAAGATTATAGCAATTACATATCTACCCTTCTGCTTGCTGAGTTTTCGCAAGAGTATCATCACAGTCTTCTAGCAGCATCTGCTTGTTTATTTTAAAAAAAACAACAATGTATCAGGACACTGCTTGCCATAAATTCCATCTGCTGTACATATTTTGAGTGTTGCCATTTCACAGAGATATTTGTCAGCATGATAATTAAAGCTGATGCACTGATGCATAGGACAGTTGTTTCACTCTTCTCTTTGAGACTATAGACTAATTTCTTGATTATTATACATACAGGTGCTTTTTTTTTCTATGCTCCTTGTTCCAATAATTATTATTGTTTATGTGATAGATACATTTCAAACATGTGCATATATTGTAACTGGAGTAACTACAGTGCTTTTTAAAAATAATAAATCTATCTCTTCAATCCTCAGATTAGAAAAGATGTTAGTCCTCTTACAACTGAGCAATGAGCTACATTCTTAAAATATGGAGGGAGTTAGAAATAAGGATGTTTCCAGATACATTATTTACTGTAAAACATTTTACCTATCCTGGACCTTTTCTTCCAGATTAAATTTTGTTAGGAAAATCAATAGGTGAACTTTTTCAGCATTTATGATAGTAGGAAGCTGATCTCCAGGTACCAACCTGCCTGAAACAACAGCATTCTGTTGCAGAAATGCTGTTGGTCCAAGGTTATTTCCTCTGCCCGATTACCTTTGCCCCAGATAGGTACATAGAATTTTCCACCAGCATTGAAGAGACTTAAGTCCCAAGTATCATTTTTACTAGTCGTGTCTGTGCCTAAATCTTGTTAGCATTCAGAGACACCTTTTATCCTGCTCTTCTCTACAAAATGAAAATTAGGAGGGTTTATTCCTGATCCACGTACTTTGCTGATGGCAGACAAACAACAGAAATAACAGAATATCCCTTCTAGATGAAGTGGACACATTAAATCTTTTACGCTGGTAGTTCTGTAGAAAGGTGTAAGGAGAGAGGATTTTGCATCCTATGAAGTGTTACTTTGAATTTCTTCTGTCACACCAGAAATGCAAGCAGACCATTTGACTTTGGATGCTCTGAAACTCTGTTGTTCGTCAAGACACTCCTGTAGAGTATTAGATAATTCTCAGTGGTTTTATTGGGTCACATCCATCCATCCATCCATCCATCCATCCATCCATCCATCCCACTATCCTGTCTCCAACAATGTAAAAAGCAAACGCAGTTTGAGCAGATGCTTAGATGCAATTTGACCTCATAAAAGAGCAAGTATTGCATCATAGTTCTTCTAAGTGACCTCCTAGACTCCAACAATGTGTGACTCAGGAACTTTCTCAGCTAGAAATGGTGTTTTTAACCACAGTTATATCTCTACGGGTGAACTTCATGTCTCCCCTGGAACTCATGAGTACTTCTACGCTTTACAAGACCTTGGGCTAAGGTGCTCTGCCAACTTAACTACACATCCCATTAACCTCTTCCACCTGTTTTCATTCGATGCACACTATTCCTGCTATCAGAAGTGTGAGTCCTTCACTACTCTCTACTTTCAGAAGCCTCTACAATAGTCTTCACCCACCTCCTCATTTTGTTACTTCCATTATTTCCATTGGCCTTCCTGAAGTTTCCTAGTTCCGCTAGATCCTTTTCAAGATGGAAAATGTGAACAAACCAGTGCACAGAATGCAAGTTATGGGCATTCAAACTGGAATAGTAATGTTCTGTGCTCTTCTTTTTCTATCAATTTTATAATAATTTCTTGTATTCAGTGTATCTTTTTGACAGCTACTGAGCTGACCTTTTAATGGAATTGTCTATGTCTGCTAGATTTTCATGGTACTATCTACTGTAAAAGCCCACAAATATTTTCTTGAAGTAGAACAAAAAGTAAGAACCAAAACAGCCTTTTCCTCAAAAAAACCCCAAACCACTCCCCCCGCCACCAAAAAAACCCAAACCAACCAAATAACAAAAAAACCCCACCAACCAAACAAATAAACAAAAAAATACCCCCACTACTAAAACAAAACAGGGCAAGTTTGTTACTTGGATGAATCATCAGGCTGTTTTGTGTCATTTCTGTTGTTCTTTTATATGGCACAGAGAAAAACACATGCCAAAAATGTAGTTCACTGTTTATTTCGTCCTTTAAGAATTCAGTCTTCTTTTATCTGTTTGGGTTTTGCTTTTTCTGGGCAAACTGCATTATCGTTACTGAATGATAGTTCTGGTTTTCCCACAGAATAGAGTAACTGATCAGATTCTTAGCAGCAATAGTCAATCCTGCATTAAATTAGAGCAAGGGCTACCAAACTTTTTGTCCCACATACCGACTTCCTTCTACATTAAATGCCTCTTCCTCTTCCCCCAGCTTGGGGAAATAACCCAGGAAAATGTATCTTGGGTGAAAGCAACAGAAGTCACACTTTTGCCAGGTGGAAGCAGTGGAGGGCAATGATTGCAGCTGCATTAAAATCCATCCATCCATCCATCCATCCATCCCATTCAGAACCATCCTGTGGGCCTCCCAAGAGCGGTAGCCCACTGCTTCTGTGAAACTAATACAATTGAGAGAGACTAACAGTGTGTTTGTTGTGGCAGGGAATGCGGGGTACAGATGGAAAACCAGGCTTTCCTGGCGTTGCTGGACATCCTGGAGATGTGGTGAGTAGGATTATCATAATCTGTGGTCACCTAACATGCACTGGCTCCTAAATCTACATCTTAAGGATCAACAGGAGCCCTAACAGTACTTGCTAGCAGTGTGTGGAGAGCAGGGCCTTGGTGTGTCCTGCTTAACCTGGAGCAGTTACTTCAGAGATCAAACACAGGAGCAGTGTGTCCCTTGCCCTTGCCTCCCTCATCAGTCAGAAGTGACACAGGCCTCTCCAGGGGCTAGTTCCAATTCTTAGGTGCTCCTTTTGCTTTTAATTATTCAGAAATTAGCTCTGCTTTTAATTATAGAGAAGCCAACAGGCTTGTAGGTGATTTTAATATATTTCTCGTGATTAAGAGCTATGAGGATTACAGAGCTCTTCAGCTGGGAAGTCCCACAGCTTGTCCCCTGCCACCTTCCTCTCACTCATGCCAGATGAGCTCTCTGCACCCCCAGCACAGTGAGTTGTATCAAGCGACTAATGGAGCTTAGAAATAATCTGCTCAAAAATGACTTTAGCTCACCCATGTTCTGCTGCCTCCTCCACTGGGCAATCCTGAACAGAACTGAGGTGGTTAATGCTGAAAAAGGAAGGAAGAGGCAGTACAGTGAAAGAAAGGTTTGTTGAATTGATCCCCAGCTCATGAAATATTGTGGGTCCATGTGCTTCTGGTCATCTGTGAACTCTGCCAAACGTGCTGGGAAGTACTTTTAAATACCAAATTCTTAGAGGCTCCAAGTTGAAACAAGCTGGCCCCATCTATGTGAAAAGCACATTTTCACAATTTTCTCTTTGAAATCACTTATGCTCATTTTTCTAATCACATGCAGGGTCCAAAAGGGGAGAAGGGTGACCCAGGACCTCAGGTGAGATAGCGTGGGTTTCATTCTTTCTGAGAAACCTATGTGAAATGCACTACTTGAGTTTTTGCAGTATTTGGGTTTGGTTTTTTTGCAGTAAATGGGTTTTTCACCTGTTCATGCTTTTGAAATAGGGTGAACCAGGACAGGATGGGAACAGTATTGTCGGACCACCTGGGCCACCAGGACCACCAGGACCAATTATAGCAATACCTGAGGTAAGCGTGTTTGTCAAGCGTTAAAATATCTGTAACATCTTACAGAGAAGAGGGCACAAGCAGTTAACAAACTGGCAGTTCTGCTGTTGATGTTCAGGTCATAAGTCTACTCCTCAAAACATCAAAAATCTCAATATGTCTCTATATCAAATGGATGTAGACATTTTTGTTTTGATTAGATTTGATACAGATTTTTTTTGGTTTTGAAAAGATTAAATAGGAAGGGAAATGGGTGAAGAATTCTTTACATCTAAGAATTGTGGGGTCACATGCGGTATGTGGGAGAGAGATACGTTGTGTTTTCTGACTGTTCTGGAAGCAACAGCCAAAAGTACCAAAGGGTAAAATGCTAGAAGTTCATAAAAGTTGTCCAGTATCCTTTAGAATCATAGAATCATAGAATGGTTGGGGTTGGAAGGGACCTTAAAGATCATCCAGTTCCAACCCCCTGCCCTGGGCAGGGACACCTCCCACCAGAGCAGGTTGCTCAAAGCTCCATCCAGCCTGGCCTTGAACCCCTCCAGGGATGGGGCAGCCACAGCTTCTCTGGGCAACCTGTTCCAGTGTCTCACCACCCTCATAGTAAAAAATTTCTTCCTGAGATCTAATGTGAATCTTTTTTTCTTCCAATTTAAAACCATTTCCGCTTTTCCTATCATTACCCTTCCTGGCAAAGAGTCCTTCTCCAGCTCTTCTATAGGCACCCTTCAGGTATTGAAAGGCCGCTATAAGGTCTCCCCGGAGCCTTCTCTTCTCCAGGCTGAACAACCCCAGCTCCCTCACCCTGTCCTCTTAGGAGAGGTGCTCCATGTATTAGCTTCATGTATGTTTTCTGTCAGTTTTTCTTTGTGTACATCAGCCTTTGCAAAAAAAATACTAGTTAGCAGTAAGGAAGGCTAGAGTTTAGGATGGATCCCTTTTCAAGCTAGCAACAAAAATCCATGTAGTGGGCTTGGTATGACACTAAAAACTGGAGAAGCTGTGAGTTGCTGCAGGAAATTCTTCACCTCTCAGAGGTGAAGGTGCCTAAAACAGCTGGGCTCATCCGTAGTAATGCATATAATGGCAGTACCGAGTGATTTCTGATTGCAAGAAGGGAAATTGCCTGGATGAGAATTCTGTGTTAGGGAAGCTGGGGACCAACACTATCATAAAGTTGAGTTACACATAACATTTTTTGTTAACTGAAACAACTAGTTTTTCACTTAGCCTTCTGCTACTGATAGCAAATATAGCATAAATCGGCACCCCATAGCACACATAACCAGTCCCAAAAGAGTTGGGTTGTGTTAGTGAATTTGCTGGGTATCCACCCAGAATCTCAGGATCCGAGACTGTAAGATCTTGGATGAGCAGAATTAGAGATTCACAGAAATAGTGGTTGGAAGGGATGTCTGAAGATCATCTAGTTGAAAGTCCTGCTTAAATTGGGACTGTTACCAGCTCCAGACTTTTTTGTGGTTTTGCTGAGTTTCTGGGAAATTCCTCAATAGCTGTGACAGAAATGCTGCTGTAAAATTCCTGTTCTTTCTCACAGCTCTACCATGATATCACTGTGGGGCCTTAACTCTTAGCACTGACTACAGAGGTCTGTTTGCAGTAGTTATTAACCTGAATGCATTGTGCTTTGGGTCCTTAATACTCAAAAAAACCTTGTGAAAGCCTCAGAGTGAGGACAAGTATGTATAAGAAATATAAAAATATTGTTGAAGCTGAGATAGCAAACTAATGACACTGGTTTGCTGCAGGCTGCATTGCTCCCTGCATATTGTGGTAGTCACAGTCCACACATCTATCTAATGTGTAGCTATGTCTGAAGAAGCCTGATGTGCATCCTCTGAATTCTCCAGAACTTCAGTATGATCTACCTACAGCATATATTACAGAAATGTATAGGGCCTGGCAGAAGCTGTATTGTTAGTTGCATTACAAACCCGTACAGAAACCCATTTCCTTCTCTAAATACCTTGGAGTTTAAGAAGTAATCTCTTTTACAAAGTAGAGTGCATAATATACGTGGCTTTTTGTACATTTGTAGCAAACAGGTATTCTGGGGAGGTACAGCAAGAACCATCTATTCTCATATGCTTTGAATCCTCTATATTGTTAATCAGATGATTTCTCTGAGGACTTGGTGTGCTGGATTTTGATACAGTTAATTAAATGTATGTGTGTGTGTAAGTATATGTCCCTACTTATGACATTGAATTCTACCTGCCTCATAAATGTTTGTATAAGAACAGGACCTTTGCTTACTACACATTTGCTGAGATAGAGGATTGAATTATCCAAATACATCTTGTTGACTCAGTCTCTCATCTTCTGTACTTAGCTTCAGCTATGGAAAGAACTGCTGCAAGCAGACCTATCAATTGCAGTTGGAATTACAGACCTAAAATAAATACCAGTACCAGCTGTTGTAATGTGGATATTGGCTTCATGTGGGTAAAGCAGCAGAGATCAATTAAGTGATCTAAATGAACCACAGGGCAGTTAGAGAGATCACTCCCTGGGTCAGGGTCTGTTAGTTCACTCATTTAACCACTGTGTAGCCAAAGCCAGCAATGCTTAGTGGGCTGCAGAAGTTCAATGGACTGATCTGTCAGAGTTGTTTCTTATGAAGGGCTGGTGGTTCCAACTAAACAGATTTTATGGTGCTTGACGAAAATAAAGTGAATTGAAGAGCTGTTGCAGTTTCAGTATTGTTGAAATGTTAAGATCTGATGTGGGCAGCTGTGGCTCAGGGCCAGGCCTCACCAGTATCTGGCCAACAGCACATTGATTGAAGTGCACTTGAAAGTGGACCTTGGCTTCCTCTTCATTTGACCTGCTCCCTATGTGAACAGAGGATTTGCTTCCTTCAGGAGCCCTTTCTAACACTGTGAAAAGATGTGGTGAGATAAAAGTGAGATCTGCAGTGGAACCTAGCCATTGCCAGGCTTCTGCAGTACCTACCAACACCTTGTATCTCAGAGACTTGCATTCCTTTCTGCCTCTTCTGTTGCTGTCTGTCAGGAAGTCTGCTCTGAACTGTCCCGTGGAAAAAAAAAAGTCCCTCAGTTTGCTGCTGTTTGATATTTCAAAATACTGAAATCAATATTTCTCATCCTGTATTGGCTATTTCACTCTTTTGAAACATAATCTCTGATACTTCGTGCATTTTCATGCACAGAATCATAACCAGTAAACCATATTAATTGTTGCTACAATTTCATCGCTCCAATTTAGTTGGATACAGTACAGAAATAATTTTGAATAGAGATAATTTATTGGATTTAAATCAAAAACTTTGGAACAATTATCTGTTGGTGCCATTATTTAGCCATAGTTCAGGCACAGGAACTGAATGAAAGGCCTGGAGAAAGGTTAATGTTGGGGGTGTAAAGCAAATGTCAAAAGGTTTTGTGTTTCCTGTGTCCTTTCTGTAATTCTAGTGAGGGCATATTCATGCCATGTGGATACTAAGCTGAAGGTTTATGTAGAACCCAACCCAGACAATCATGCTAAAAACTTCTGCTTCTTCCTCTTCATAACAATGAAGAATTATGAAAAATAATGTTGTCTTGGTTTTGTAGTCAGCACTTGCTGAATTGATTTGATGTGCTGCAAAGTTAACACCGCTGGATTGCTGCTATTAAAGCTGCTTGTACATCTGAAAAGGAAGATAAATACCTGTGTACCTGGAGCAGGCTGTGAAGAGTGCAATCTTTTTCTCTAATCATCACCCTTGTACCCTCTATTTTCATACCTTCTTCAGCGCTGTGTACAGTTTTCTGACTTGGAACCACAATTTCCATTTGCAGCTAAATTCTATTTAAATAAAGAGACAAAGTGCCCAATCCCAAGCTCAGTAAAGCCTTTGGGATTCTTTCCGCTGACTTCAATACAGTTTGGATCGAGCCCAAAAAAAGAATGAATACTGAGTAATTCCACAATGAAAAGACGGGCTCCTGGATTTCTGCCACCAGCTGTAGATAAAGCAGAACAATTGCAGCAGCAGGACTCTTTTGTTGCTGTCACTAAAGTAACAGCCCGTGTCCTGTTGCCTTTCTGGGCCATGTAGTGCTGGGAATACGGTGGGACCCACAGCATCGTGCTAGCAATGGGGCAGAGAGCTCAGGTAGGCTGGGAGATGGAGGACTGCCTGCAGGACTTGCACTGGCTTTTTATTTGACAATTTTCCAGTGTTTTTTGCAGAACATGAGGCCGTGTTATGCATGGGTACTGGGTACATGTTCCCAGTAAAGTAACAGGCTATAGCAGCGTGAATTATGATGCCAACATGACCTCAAAGTACAGTAAGTTGACCATACGCTGCCAAGCTCAGATTACATAGGATAGGATAAATCTCCTCTTTTGTGTCCTCCTTCCCAGCCCAGAGTAGAAAAATAGTATTCAGAGGCTCATAAGATAATTTGACGTGACCTCTGAAGGCCATATGGTCAAACCTCCTCTTCTAAGCAAGGGTGGCTTCAAACTTAGTTCCTGTACACCGTTTTCAAAACAAATGTTGTGAAAGACTGTGATCTGATAGCATTGATCCGCACAGGGCTACAAGCAGAAGAGGCATTCAGGTTTCACAATACCTCAGTGACAACACGCTTATTCATGTGCTAAGTGAATCCCTGGCACCTGAAGGCATGCCCTGCCCTGGCCTTCTGAAATTTGGAAGATTTCCATTCCATGGAATGGGAATAGCCTGCTGCACACAGAGCCCTATATTGAAATGGGTGGCACAGCTTGCCTGCTAAAGGAGTGGACTCCTTCAAGACTCTAGGGAGATTCAGTGTATATTTCTCAATCTAAAACAAGGCTAAACTGTCATACAATAAACGGGACTGTTGGAGTGAAAGAAATGAAACAAATAACCAAAACTGAGTAAGGATCTCTTTTCACCTGCAGCATTTATATGGAGCAAGGCCTTACACACTGTCTGAATTGTAATGTATGACCATATGATATAGTATTGGGAGCATCTATTAAACCAGAAAGGTAGCTATCTGAAACCAAAATGAAACAAAATGAAAGCCTGATCATAACATCAGGACAAGGCTCTGACTGGGAGCAGCCAACGCTGATTTATTAACAGCAATTCACTCCTGATCAAAATGATTGCTTGCCTGTGGATGAGGGATGGGCACTGGATGTTGTGCACCCTGCTCAGCCTGGAAGAAGGAAGGCTAAGGGGAGAGTTTGTGGCTCTCTGCAACTACCTAATCAGAGGATAAAAAGATGGAGGCACCCTCTTCTTGGAGGCATATGTCAATATTATAAGATGTAACAGACACAAGTTGGAATATGGGAAGCTCCAATTAGACGTAAGCAAAAACTTTTCACCTTTACGATACTCAAATATTGTCCAGTTCTTGTTGCCCAGAACAATGGTGTCTTTTCCATCCTCAGAGGTGGTGAAGACTTAACTGGGCAAGTCCCTGAGCAACCTGATCCAATTAGATGTTGGGCCAGGTTATGTCCAGAGGTCACTACTCACCTTCATTATTCTGATTCTGTGGTCAAATTATGGAGAAATACCTGACCTGATGCTGAGCTCACTAACTCCAGGATAAGAAGCACTGTAGCAGCATTGCTATTATACTGCTCTGGTCAGGCTTCTTGAGACCCAGAGCTGATCAGTTTGGGTGCTGCTCCACATCCAAGTGACTATTCTGTTTTGGAGATCCAAACTGGTTTCATTGATTGCAGACACAGCAGCATAATCAGAGCTGACTTAGGAATCACTGCCCAGCACTGTATGGTGTAATGCAGACATGTCCAGAATATAACTATAATGTCAACTCTATGGCAGGATGAGTGTGATCAGACAGATTCACCATCTTGGAATACCAGTGACATATTAGAGTATGAAACCTTCATTCTGATATTTATTTTGCTGAGGAGAAATGACTTCAGGCATTATAGTTTTCAAATTAAAAATGAGTCAGTTAATTAAAGTTTTGGAAGCATTCTGAGATCCTTACATAAGAAGTATAAAACAAATTCTAGGTTTTGTTATTCCAGATGTATAATAAAAATTGGAAGAGGGCATTTTCTTTGGGCTTATTTGTGTTTTTCTCCCAATAGTTACGAAGGGACGCTTTAACTACCTATAGATTTCTAAAAATCTATGTGTACCCTAGATAATCAATTGGTATTTGAAATAACCTGTTCCTTAACCACTTTTTCAGCTGCTACTCAATGATACAGATGGAATTTTTAACATTACTGGAATTAAAGGACTGCTTGGGCCTCCGGTGAGTATATGCTGCTTTATTAAGCCTTCAGATTTGCTCTCTCTTCAGTGTCTCCTTTTCAGTATTGACTAGAGCTGAGTTTCCTGTGCTTTAGAATTGTGTTCCTGTGAACTTCAGCACTAAGCTCGGTGGAAGTTCTTCAGGGCAGAACTGAATTCTGTAGGAATGAATTGCTTTTACATGTTTGTATGAATTAAAGGAACCGACTTAGCTCTGAACCTGAACTATGTGCTCAGAATAACATAAATGTGGAACTGATGCAAAAATAGGGACCAAAATTTACATAGCATTTTCTTCCCTTTTTTTTTTTTTTTTTTTCCTGTTTTTCAGGGCACAAAATGTTGGGATAAAGTATTTTTTTCAGTTTTGCTTGAGACTGCAA